ATGATGCTGTGTGTCTGTTTGTGAGTTTGTGTGTGTATATTGGAATTTGTGAGTGTGATGCTGTGTGTGTATTTGTGAGTTTGTGTGTGTATATTGGAATTTGTGAGTGTGATGCTGTGTGTATATTTGTGAGTTTGTGTGTATGATGCTGTGTGTATTTGTGAGTTTGTGTGTGTATATTGGAATTTGTGCATATGATGCTGTGTGTATTTGTGAGTTTGTGTGGGTATATTGGAATTTGTGAGTGTGATGCTGTGTGTGTATTTGTGAGTTTGTGTGTATGATGCTGTGTGTATGATGTATGTTGTGTGTGTATTTTGGAATTTGGTGTGTGATGCTATATGTTAAAGGGGAATCATCACTTTTCTGGAAAACTGCACCACTGAAAAAAAACACTGAAAATCACCTAGAACTTGTGTTTACCTTTTTTCATGCTGGATTTTTTTAAAATGTATAGTAAAAATGTAGCCATTAATATCACAATCCAGTTGAGTCCTGGCACTCCCAGGGCACATGGTGCATTTCAGGAAAAGAAACAAACACGGGGGGTTATGCATACGAGCAACTCTGTTGCTATGTGCCAGAAGTAGATCAGTTAGCAGTAGGTTGCCGTGGCGACTAGATTTATCGAGAGTAATTCTGAATTAAAGTTGTTAAAGTGGTGACTTTAACAACTTTAATTCAGAATAACTCTTGATAAATAACTACAATTATTTTTTATTTATCCCCTCTCTCTATGCTCTTGATTTGCTGAATGTCAAGTACCATGGCTGATGTCATAATTGACAGATAGCCAAATTGGATGTGCTCATTTCAGAGTAGACGTACATACCACAGCATGGATTCTACATTTAATTCTATTTTTCAGGCCTAGTGCATATTTAATTTTGTTTTTGGAATACTAACACAATCACAATCAAAAATATAGAGGGATGTGGTCAATTCGAGTACTGAATATCTATTTAATTAGCAGTGTTTTTTCTATTGGTTGAATAACAAACTGGCATTGATTTGTTGTTTGCTTGTGGATGCTGAATAAATCTCCATATGGCAAGAAAATTCACCGCTAACAGAGAAGATAAAATGCTAAATCTGTACACATTTCCTTTTCTCCTTTAAACTGACTTGCCGTTGTGCCAGCTCAATTTCCGGAATCAGCTTCTACTCAATACATCATCAGAAGAATTACATGCAACTCTTGTAAATATATAATTTGCTGAAAGCATCTGTGACTATCAGTCTTGACAAACATCCCATGCTAATTACATGGCCACATGTTCCACTGCATGCTAGCTATGGTAGAGTTTCGAAGCTTAGGGGAGCTATATAAGATAACAGATATGAAACTTATATGGATCATAATTTATATGTGACTTTAAAGCCGTCATTGCTCCGTGCGATATTTATATAATTCTTGTCTATAAGAAGTTGTATGCTTGTGATGAAGCCTACGTGTCGGAAGCTGCAATGCCTGTTCTGGCAGTTGTATACGTATAGGGGTCTGTTAGTGATAAGAGCTGTGCTTGTGTGAAATGAGTTATATATTTAAGAGTGCTGTGCATAATGGGAGTTATGTGTATTTGATATTTGCCTGAATGTGTGTAATTTCTAATGGGAGTTTGCATGAGCTTTTGTGGTGGGACATCTATACGCGTAAAATAAGGTTATCTGCTTGTGATTCATCATAAGTGACTGGTGGTGCTACAGGTGATGGGAGTTGTGCGTGGCACTGTTTGTGTAGTACTAGTGGGAGTTGGTGAACTAGTAGTTCTGGGAAACTTAAAGGGACACTGTAGTCACCCAGACCACTTCAGCTCAATTGGAAGGGGGACCCTGAGGGTAGGGGCACCCTCAGGGCACTATAGTGTCAGGAAAACCGCTTTGTTTTCCTGACACTATAGTGATCCTTTAACCCCTTAAGGACACATGACATGTGTGACATGTCATGATTCCCTTTTATTCCAGAAGTTTGGTCCTTAAGGGGTTAATATTATCTTACAGGGCATACATTTACCAACAGTGTTCTCAATTATAAATATGTGTGGATGGATGAGTGTGCTATCAACTTACCATATGTACATACCTCCCAAGTGTCTATTTAGGGCCCAAATCCCTCTGTCTCTCTTTTCTACCATAATGAGCTCCACGTTGATGGTGTGTCTCAGTGTATAGCAGAGCCCTACAGCAATAATAGTCACAGTAAGAAGTACTTAAACTACAAAAAATGTGTTTAGAAATCAGTCAGTGTAAATAGGATACATTGTTCTTGTTCTAAATGATGTTTTAGTTGCACAAATTGTTATTCGTACGTCATCTAAAATTTCTCAGAACATTCCCCGCCCCTGGGAGACTGGTCACGATATCCGGCCTAGGGGACTATGCCCGCTACAATGTAGTCCTCCGGTACGGAATTTATATTGGCAGAAGGCCTTGTCTTTAATGATCAGAAATCTGTTATTAAATTGGACCCTGGAATGCCAAACATCTCACCAAGGGAGCCATTATCACATGTTTTAAAGGGAGGGCTAATAAGTAAAGTGTGAACATTTTTTTTGGCCACAATAGCCAAACGAAATACACAGCTAATGTGGAGGTTTCCCCAGTACAACAAACCTATTCAGTTAGCCATTAAAACCAGAGCTAGAAAAAAGGAAGGGGAAAGGGGGGCACACCTGGAACATGCATTTCTCAGAAATGCAATTTACAGATTAAGAAACAGCACACATATAAAAATACAGTTTAATATTTTATATGGCTACTTAAAATCACTTTAATCACATGTTTACTGAGTTAGAAGATTTTAACCCCTTAAAACCAGAGGGCGTACTATTACGCCCTATTCTAAGCGGCTCTAAACTCTGCAGGGCGTAATAGTGCGCCCTCACAGTTTTTGTTACTTACCCGGTCGCCGGCGATCCCACGCCGGCGATCGCGGTCGGGGGACTCTCCTTGCGAGGATCTCACAATCACATGGCTGGGTTAGCTGGCTGCTGCATTGACAGTTAGTCCCCCTGCTGGCTGGAAATCAAATAAAATTAAATTAAAATCAGTGTAAAAAAAATAATATACTTAGATCTTAGTATATATATACATAAAAACATAAACACACATACACTGTCTAGGTGTATTTTACTATTAATATATATATAATTATATATATATATATATTAATATCAAATTACACGTAGACTGATACTGATTAAATATATATATAATTATTGTTATATATATTTATATATAATATAAAAAAATAAATATGTAAATACGTTAAAAAATAATAAAAAATAAATAATTAAAAAATATATAGATGTGTGTTATTTCGTTCTAACTGTATTGTGGTGTTAATATATATATATATATATATCAAAATACACGTAGAACGAAATAATCTATACATCTATATACATAAATATATACGTATATATCATTATATATATACCTATATATAAATAAAAATATTTGTAAAAAATTATATATATATATATATACATATATATATATACACATACGTATATATATATATATATATAAATGTATTAATTCTACATATACATTTATGTAATATTTTTACATAATTAGGTATTTTAATTAATTACAGTTAGCAGGACCTGCCTGACAACCCATGTCGAAAGTATAGGGAATTTAATTTGCTAGCACTATATTTAACCCTATAACTTTCCAAGACACCATAAAATCTGTACATGGGGGGTATTGGTTTACTAGGGAGACTTCACTGAACACAAATATTAGTGTTTCAAAACAGTAAAATGTATTATAACGATTATATCACCAGTAAAAGTGAATTTTTTTGCATTTTTCACACACAAAAAGCACTTACACAGACAATATTATTGCTGTGATACTTTTTACTGTATTGAAACACAAATATTTATGTTCAGCGAAATCTCCCGAGTACAACAGTACCCCTCATGTACAGGTTTTATGGTGTTTTCAAAAGTTACAGCATCAAATATAAGGCTTGTGTTTCATTTTATTCATATTAAAATTCGCCAGATTGGTTATGTTGCCTTTGAGACCCTATGGTAGCCCAAGAATGAAAATTACCCCTATGATGGCATACCATTTGCAATAGTAGACAACCCAAGGTATTGCCAATGGGGTATGTCCAGTCTTTTTTGGTAGCCACTTAGTCACAAACACTGGCCAAAATTGGTGTTTTTTGCATTTTTCACACACAAACAGATACTAACGCTAACTTTGGCCAGTGTTTGTGACCAAATGGCTACTACAAATAACTGGACATACCCCATTTGCAATACCTTGGGTTGTCTACTATTGCAAATGGTATGCCATTATGGGTGTAAATTTCATTCCTGGGCTACTATACAGTCTCAAAGGCAACATAACCAATCTGGCGAATTTCAATTTCAAATGTAACGTGCTATATTTGACCCTGTAACTTCCCAAAACACCATAAAACCTGTACATAGGGGGTACTGTCTTACACGTGAGACTTTGCTGAATACAAATATGTGTATTTTAATGCAGTAAAAGCAAACAGTATTATGACATTGACAGTTAAAATGTCATGTAGAACTAAAAACAAATCGTATTTTCTCCCATTGTTTTCATATTAAATTATGTTTCATAGCTAAATATTTGATGTTAAATGAAAGCCCTGTTTCCCCTGAATAAAATGATATATAATAAGGGTGGGTGCATTTAATATGAAAGAGGTGAATTACGGTTGGACAGACATGTAGCGCAAATGCCAGGTGTTTTGTTTTGTTCACAACGTGTCCATTTGGCTCAGTCCTTAAGGGGTTAAGTGGCCTTATAAAATGTTATAGTGTTTTACTATCAAGGTTGACAGGCAGCACACATTTTGCTGCCCATCATTGAATACAATGCAGTATGATCCCTCCCTGTGGCAGAGCCCAGCCCCATCTGATCCTCCCTGCTCAGAGCACATGCTCTGTCTGCCAAGCAATCACTGAGACCACAACACAACGAGGCCACGCCCACCAACAAACCCCGCCCATCCATCAACCGCCTGCAGCCCTCGAGCTTCAAAGGCGGTTGGGAAAAAAAAAAAATAACAAGCCGTGGTCCGCGTCAGCCAATCAGAGCAGTGGTGGGCGTGGTTTCCACCCCCCCCCGTCCCCCACACACATAAGGCCTCCCGTCATTGACAGGCGGGAAAGGCGTGGCCACTGGGATCCGAGCTGGCTGGTTCTCCTCAGCCGTTGCTGCTGAAGGACGGGCGCGCGCCGTGACGTCACGGGCGGGGATCGGTTCTCCTCAGCAGGCGGTCGAGCACAGTGTGTGACAGCAGGTACACCCCCCATCCTCCCTCACACCCCCCCACCCCCAGTCTGTCTCTGTCTGTCCGCCCGCCCCATGTCGGACCGTCCAACCCCCGCCTCTCCTGCCTGGACCGGTCCTGTCCGCCGGGCGGCTGCCGGGAGTGGATGTTCGCGGCTGGCTGTGACAGGAGAATGTGTGTGTGCCGCGGGCCCAGGCGGGTCGGTAAGTAGGAGTCCGTCCGTCCCTCCTCTGTATGGGTGGGAGAGGGAGGGGGGCAGGCCCGCTCGGGCCCTCTCTGGACAGCAAAGGGTTAACGTCCTGTTTAACCCCTTAATGGCTGCAGAGCTCCCGATGGTAAGAGTGGGGTGAGCAGCACATCGTGTGTTCAACTATCCTAAAACTACAAGTTACCAATGGGCTGCTCCTAATATTATAATAATAATAATAATAATAACAGGTAGTCCCTGCCATGTAGGTGTATTAACCCCATTGCATGTCACAGTCCATGCCATGTAGGTGTATTAACCCCATTGCATGTCACAGTCCATGCCATGTAGGTGTATTAACCCCATTACATGTCACAGTCCATGCCATGTAGGTGTATTAACCCCGTTACGTGTCACAGTCCATGCCATGTAGGTGTATAGCCCCATGGTGCCAGGCTTGTGAGGGCATGTTGGCGCATTCAATGAGTAGAAGGGGTTTTGGTGCCCGGAGTGTGCCTTTTTTTTGTGATCCTTGTGTTGAGTGTCAGCGTACCCTTCTGCTAAACAACTGTCACCGATTGGGGACCTTGCCGAAGTTGCCAAGTCCCCCGACGGTGACATCACTGCGGGGGGGGCTGGATGCTGGTAAAGATGAGTTTACTTACCTGGACTTGTCCCTTGCGTGCTCTGCCATCTTGGTCCGGTAGGGTCCACTTCGGCGCCAATATCATTGCTGTACTCTCGTGCATAGTTACATAGCTGAAAAGAAACTTGCGTCCATCAGGTTCAGCCTTCCTCACATGGTTTTTTGCTGTTGATCCAAAAGAAGGCCAAAAAAAACCATCCAGTTTGAAGCCCTTCCAATTTTGCAACGAACTAGGGGGGAAAAATTCCTTCTTGACCCCAGAATGCATGCGCAAGAGTATAGCATTGATATATGTATAAATCTATGCAGAATCTCACAAGACCTCGACCAAGACCTCCATAAATGCAGCCAGTTTACTGCAGCTGTCAGTGGTGATGACTGAGGGTATTCTGCCGTGTGTCAAAGAAAGAAAGTCAGGCGGAGGAGAAATACAGAGACAGTCATTCCTACTTTGTCTCTCTAGATCTCTTGACTGGAGTGGAATTCCAACACCGTCATAAGTATTTCATAAAGATACTATCTGTATTAAATACTCCTTTTTAATATGGGGTTGACAGTGCCACATTAACACATTGGGAAATGTTGTATCTTCATACTTCGTTTAGGGGCACTAAGGAGAAATCAGACTTTCATAATGGCACTGAGATCCAAACGTGGATTTCTTGTGTATATAATTTTATTGCAGCCTTAAAGGGACATGCAAAGCACTATAACCATTTCTGTGCACTGTAGTGGTTATGGTGCCTGGAGAGCCCTTACATTGTCCAGCCATAAGAAGCTAAATGTTGGAGGGTTTGTGTGTGTGTGTGTGGGGTGTGTATTTTTTTTTTTTTTTTTAACATTGTGACTAAAGCGCACAGCTGATGAATTAAAGGGACACGTCAAACCACCTAACAAGTACATGTTAATGTAGTGATTTCTGTGCACAGATGCTGTCCATATGAAACACCAGTGTTTAAATGTGGCAGACTGACAGCTGCTTGAAGAACATACTTAAATTGTGTTCAGCACCATCATGCATGGCATGATGCAGAACATGTACAGTGCTTCTCATAGACAAACATTGAATTAATGCATCTTTCTTTGAAGCATCAGATTGGTGGAATGTGGTCTGTTGTCTCCACTGCATCTCTAAGGACTGGATTGGACAAGTCCTAATTGATCATGGCTTCCTTAAGGAGACTGTTGGTGCTGGAATACGTGCTAGTTTTAAGGAGTCTTTAGAAGGAGAGAAGAACCCTCTAACTTCAAAAATTAAGGCATTCTATTGTTAAAGATTAATATATTTTTATTTTTACATTGGAATGTTCTGTTATTTTCAAATGGGGAGAGAACTGATATTGCTAAATTTGCAGTATTGCAATATCACAGAAATCTGGATGGACCCAGGGGGATTCATGTAAGTATAAGGGGACCAATAGAAAATAAAAAGAATCTTAAATGATCACTTTTGAATGACACTTGACCTTTTCTTTATTATTGTGTGTGTGCCCATTCCAGTCTATAGAATATGGTGGAAGAATTGTTTCAGGAAATTGTGTAAATGTGGACATGCATCGTTTTATGTATGAATGTATCCGATTAAAATTCATATTTTGTAATACCTTTTTTTTTTTTATTGGACTAACATACTTTTTTAATAAGCTTTCGGGAGGACCTCCCTTTCTCAAGTCTGAAGCATTTCTTAGCAAGACGGCCCATAAAATTAAAAGTTGAGTTCTGATACAGGGGTTTAAAGGATCATACTCCTTCACATCCAGCAATGTGGTATACATCATTCAATGCAACAAAAGTCTATGCATTTCTTTGGCTGTTGAACTGGCCTCACTATTGTACAGTAATTATCAAATGGTTTATATGGAAGATCATGCAAACTCTCACATGGAATGCCCATAGATAATATGCTTTCATTACAAGGTACAACAGGTATCTTTTGTGCCATGTGATGCTAGTTAATGGAAAGTTGATGTTGATGTGGAGGCACTTGCAGAAGAAGAAAATAGTCTGTTATTTCTAAGCAATACCAACATGGTCAACAACAATATTATGTATGTATGACTCACACTTAAGCATCCGATAATACTCATGTCTATCTCAGTATTATCGGATGCTTAAGTGTGACAGTGCCACTTTAAACCTAGCTGAAACTGCTGGCATATTTATAACTCAAAAAAGAGTACGCTGACCTTTTAGGAGAGACCTTCAGCTACACACAAGACACTTGAGTTTCAGTAGAGGTTACTCTGTTTAAATGTGCTTCATATAAGTCCATGTCTTTACTTCTTTTGAGCCTATATTTATCCTCTTGTTTCTGTTTGTACTTAAGACTACTATTGATACAAACTGTTTTGGATTTAATAAAAGCTGTATAGCAAAATATAAACACACGCCTCTATTTAGTTATTTTGCTATGCAGTGTTTTGTGAAGAAACCCTTTTGTGTTTCAACTATGAGAATTTAAGTTTTGTTAGTAAAATATTTGCTTGTTTTGTGTCTAGTGTGTGGGATTTTTTTTTTTAGGTGTTCAGTGCTAGTTTTCATGGTGTCTGATAAATTATGCCTCAATTTTTAACTTCTTTCTTCTGATGCCTCTCTAGGTATCTCAGACCAAAGCTGCTATCCGGCGTTCCTTTTTGATGCAATGTCTGTACCACGTCAACTTCTCTTTCCTCTCATAAGACACTGTGATCTTGGAAGAATATGCCGCTCCATATGCTCTTGCCATCATAAACATCTTTGCTGCTTGCCAAGCCAGCCTCCTGCAAATCCTTTCTTGTATGGATGTGGAAAAAGGTTTGCCTCAGCCTTTCACCATCCCAAAGAATGTATTCAAATCAGAAAATATGTCACCACTCCACAGAGGTTTTATCTAACCCCACCTCAAGTCAACAGTATATTGAAAGCCAATGAATACAATTTCAAAGTTCCTGAGTTTGATGGGAAAAATCTAAGTTCAATCCTTGGGTTTGATAGTAATCAGTTGCCAGCCAATGCTCCAATTGAAGATCGCAGAAGTGCAGCTACATGTCTTCAGACAAGGGGGATGTTGCTTGGCGTGTTTGATGGCCATGCTGGATGTGCATGTGCACAGGCAGTTAGTGAAAGACTGTTTTATTATATTGCAGTTTCACTTTTACCTCATGAAACCCTCCTTGAGATTGAGAATGCTGTGGAAAGTGGCAGAGCGCTTTTGCCTATTCTGCAGTGGCACAAGCATCCAAACGATTACTTTAGCAAAGAAGCTTCCAAGCTGTACTTCAACAGTTTAAGGACCTACTGGCAGGAATTGATTGACCTGTATACGGGGGAGACTACTGATGTTAAGGAGGCATTAATTAATGCATTTAAAAGACTTGATAATGATTTGTCTCTGGAAGCTCAAGTTGGAAATCCTAACTCCTTTCTCAATTACTGGGTCCTTAGAGTGGCTTTTTCAGGAGCTACAGCTTGTGTGGCTCATATAGATGGTGTGGATTTGCATGTTGCCAACACTGGTGACAGTAGGGCTTTGCTTGGTGTACAGGAGGAAGATGGTTCTTGGTCTGCAGTGACAATGTCTCACGATCATAACGCCCAAAATGAGTCTGAAATAAAACGGGTCAAATCTGAACACCCCAAAGAAGAAGAAAAGAGTGTTGTCAAGCAAGAAAGGCTACTTGGCCTATTAATGCCTTTCAGAGCTTTTGGAGATGTTAAGTTCAAATGGAGCATTGACCTTCAAAAGAGAGTTGTGGAGTCTGGTCCTGATCAGTTAAATGACAACGAGTACACAAAATTCATTCCTCCTAACTACCATAGCCCACCTTATTTAACTGCTGAACCTGAGGTTATTTATCACAAGTTAAGACCCAAAGATAAATTTCTCATATTGGCTACAGATGGCCTTTGGGAAACCATGCATAGACAAGATGTGGTGAAACTTGTTGGAGAGTACCTGACAGGGGTCCATCATCAGCAGCCAATAGCTGTAGGTGGATACAAGGTCACCCTAGGACAAATGCAAGGGCTCCTTATGGAAAGGAGAGCAAGAATTTCCTCTGCGTTTGAAGATCAAAATGCAGCCACCCACCTTATACGGCATGCAGTGGGCAATAACGAATTTGGAGCTGTTGATCATGAACGTCTTTCAAAAATGCTTAGTCTTCCAGAAGAACTGGCTCGCATGTACAGAGATGACATTACAATTATAGTGGTTCAGTTTAATTCTCATGTAATTGGATCATGTCAAAATCAGGAGCAGTAAAGTTAAATATCTCTTCTGTTTACCAAAGAGGTACAGGAGAAGGACTATAGTAAAGTTGAGTTGCCTGAAGTCTGCTTTGAGATTAATACTCTAATCATAACATAATAATTTTGAAAAGGGGACAATATTGAGACAGCATGATTACAAATTATTTTTCTTCTAAAGCACTGTTTTGCCTACTGATAGCTCGACACTATCATTGCAAGTTATGCAACTTTGACACTACAGATAATATTTGCAAGCAGTTTTATTCCGGACTAGTTCTTTTTAGGATCAGGTAACCGGATGAATGAAATAAACCAACCTGGGGAATTACGCAGTCTAGAATTCTTTAAATTCATCCCACAGCCTTTATTTAATGTCCACAATGTTCAGCTCGTTACAATCAGAAGTACTCGTTACAATCAGAAGTACTCTGAAAGGTTAAGTGTATCGGTGTAAAAAGAAAATTAACTGCAGTATGACTTCTTTGGGTTCAGCCAGCACAATTACACCTTCTGAAAATCCATATTAAAATTTGTACTTCTGCTTATTAATCATACATATCCAATCTTTAAACTGTGTTTCAAATGTATTCATATAAACCATGTTAGGTCTGTAGATTTTAAGGATGACTCAATTTTCAGTTCTTTATGTAGCTTTTCTTTTGTTCCAGAGAATAAATCGTTTTCATCTGTACTTTTTATACTGCAATTTTTAACCGTATATATCTTGACATTTTAATGGTTTTTGTTTTCCTCTTCCATATGCACTACTCAAGCCATAGGTCAAATGGGAAATTGTTTCAGGACAAGAGTCCCAGAACAAAACTTTGGTCTGCAACAGATCTGTTGTATCTCAGCGGCTTCATCTGCCATAAAGAGGGCTTGTGTAAAGGGGTACAGATAAGCTGTTTATGTATTGTACTTTACATATGTCTTTGGGTGTAAGATGGAGAGCAAACTAGTTTAGGATTTTGTTCCTTACTGCTGCAAACACCAATGGTAGTGACTTGAGGTTTTCTGAGTATTCTACTGGGGAAAAAAATAGTGTGTGTTTTGTAGCTTAAAAAGCTATAGATATGTCACTAAACCCAGGAAGATTTTTGACATGGAAAATTCTCAATTCCCTGTCCAGTTAATAAAGTTCATTGGGACTTGTCTAATCACCCCATTACACATGGAAGAGTTAATTTGGTACCCTTGGTTTTACTGCTTAATGCATTGTGTAATGTATATTTCTAACTTGTGATAACCATTTTATCTTAGGCTTGTGGGACAACTCCCCACCTCCCCCTCCCAGCATCACTGTATTTTCCAATATTGTTTGATTTACGAGTGTGTTGGTCAAATGACTTGTACAGTACCACATAGTTAAGAAAACAGTCTAACTCGGTTGAGTTAAAACTTTTTCTTTTATATTTGTTACATGTCACATTGCGGTAGAATATGCTATAAAGCCAATCTTAACTTTGACAATGGCCTGCTGTCTGTAATCTTAATGACAAACTAGAGCAATCTTGAGCTATGATTGCAAGCTTTATCACATTAGACTGTTTATATTTGATAATGGTACTTTGAGGTCCAGCACTGCATGAACAATGCTAACTACTTTTTGGCATGGTCCCTATATTCAGATATATGTATAGGAATATTATAGAATCTACCCCTCTGCAAAAGCAAATGCATAGGAATGTCTCCTGTTTTTTGTTGCATTATTGGAGATGGCTTTTTAATTTTACTATACATTTTGATTGCTCAACCAGAACATCTCTAACTGCATTTAATCTGTATTAAGGTGTGCATATCTATCCACTAGAAACAGGGTACATAAATCCTGTGGGTGAATGGGCTTGTTCTAGAATTACCCCAGTCATTTGCTTTTGTAAATATCCTTTTAAATTATATACCCATCGTGTGTGTAATGTCTACAGCTTTGGAAACCTTTTTGTGCCCTCCATAAGCGTGTCTACCCCGGCAACACAATCTTCTTTCCAACTCTTTGCCTCATTGCTTGCATTCTTGTAATGCACTAGAATACCTATACTGAAGAGCCTGTTCAGATGACTGTTGACATTTTGTCTTCCATGAACGTTCTCCTGGATATTCTCGCTCACTTGCATTTATCCAAAATGTGTATCTATTGCAAGAGAAAATGCTGATGTCTTATTTAGAAGGGTATGTAAATAGATACGCAAGAATCTTCCAGCTTCTCTAAGTTGAGTCAGAAAAGCCCTAAGTTGTGCTGGTAACTTCTGGCATATGCTGAATTATCTGTGGTCAGAGGAGTCTGTTGCATGCGGCAGGTTTATGCTAGTGTAGTAAGTGAATTTTATTTTTGACAGTTGCCTTTAGGTTAAAATGTAATGTGGGATCAATTCCAAACAGTCAATGTGATATAAAAATCCTGACCCATGCAAAACAGTGGTGCTTGTGGTGGTTTCTATAGGCTAATTAAATTTAATTGAAGAAATTTGTATCACACTTGTAAACATTCTAAAATTACATCTCTTTACGATTTTGTTATATTGCTTTTCTTCATATCTGGTAAAGAACTTTTTAAAATCCCATCCAAATGGATCAATCAGAGGCGTTTCCATGGCAATTGATTTACTTTTTCATGAACTGCTTTATAAATGGATTATTTGCCTGGCCTTTCATGATGAGTTGGATCTTAACTTGTCCTGAATGATTTATACATGGCAATAAAGTGTGCATTACAACTTATGTTGCCTTCGGTGCACTGGTCGGTCTCCTGGTTTAATATTAAACTAACTGACCTCTCCTTTCTTGGCTGCCTAGATAAGGAACTAATTTTTGTCTTTTCCCATGTCAATTTGTCCAGCCGAGCTCCAACTCTGACCATTTACTCAGCATCATAACTACTACAGCAAGCTGTAGTTGTGAAGCTTAGGATGCCCCTTTGAACACAAGTTTGGAAAAATATCTATCTACTGTACTGTAATAGTGTTCCAAAATTAAAAATGGTTCTGTCGTGACCGATTTTATGATGCCTCTAGTCTTCCTGGACAATCAAACTACATTGTTGACCAGTTTACCAAGTGTTCTACTTAAACTATAATTAGCTGACCACCATAGGCTGAATGAAGGTACCAGCATGTACATAATGTAAACGGTAAACTTCTTCTTTTTACTTAAAACTAACCTCCGAATTAAGGGATGGCCAGCGTGTTTCCATTAAAGAACCACTGGTTTTGTCTTGATTTGTGTTAACAGAATAACTTTGCTGTGGAGGTATTGTAGAGCAGTAACATTGCCTCTGTCATCAAAGTAGTTGAGCATCCATCCTTTCTTGCTTTTTGTTGATAAATGTACTGTATTTTATTTAGGTCAAATATCCATTGTTAATTTCCGTTTTACTAGCTTCACATGCTGTTAATATTGTATTGAAAAGACGTCAAATTAAATCTTTGTTAAAACTGTCTGATGTAGTTGACTACCGTGTCTTTGTTTCTAGGGAAAAGTCTTGTTAAGCATATAAAACAGAAAATTGTGCTGTTACACAACTGCATGTCTATAACTGTGTAAAAATATTTTATTTTTTTATTTTTTATTTTATTTTTTTTAGTTAAAGGAACACTCCAATCATCTTAACCACTACAGCCTTCCATAGTGGTTATAGCAAGAAGAGTACCCTGGTTGTACCCCTTTGTTAAAATGTCAAATTCAGCTGAAATTTGTCTGCCTAGGATGCTGGTATATCTACTAGAGCTGGTTTGAAGTGGCAATGGTGCTTAGAATGTTCATGTTTCTTAAAAAGAGAACTTGAAAAACATTCCATCCTTAACTTGTTCTGTACCATCAACCAGTACATAAGTTTAGATGGTGCTTTGAAAATGCTGCATACCAACATGTTCTGGGTTTTCTTCTCTTCTATAGGTGTCTATAGTGCTGCCAGCAGGGGGACTGCCTGAACTGACAGGCAGTCCCCTTGCTGGTGAAAATGTTAAATAATTTTTATTTTTTTTATTTTAAGGTCCTATCTGGTATGTCTGACAAATGGTATATACATTTATTAATATAATAAACTTAGAGTAAAATTAGACGTGTGTGTGTGTGTGTGTGTGTGTGTGTGTGTGTGTGTGTGTGTGTGTGTGTGGAAAACTGTATATTAACCTCTAAATGCCCTCCCTTTTTTGGAATTTATTTTTTTACTTACCCGGTTGCTGGCTATCCCACGCCAATTACAATTAGCGGGACCTGCCTGACAACCTATGCTGACAGTAAAGGGAAATTAATTTGCCCTATAAATTATATTTAACCCTATAACTTTCCAAGACACCATAAAACCTGTACATGGGGGGTACTGTTCTACTCGGGAGACTATGCTGAAAACAAATATTAGTGTTTCAAAACAGTAAAATGTATTATGATGATATCGCCAGTAAAAGTGAAGTTTTTTTTGCATTTTTCACGCACAAACCGCACCTACACGGACGATATTATTGCTGCGATAGTTATTGTTTTGAAACACAAATATTTGTGTTCAGCAAAGTCTCCCGAGTACAACAGTACCCCTCATGTACAGGTTTTATGGTGTTTTCAAAAGTTACAGCATCAAATATAAGGCTTGTTTAATTTTTTTTTTTTCACATTAAAATTTGCCAGATTGGTTAGGTTGCCTTTGAGACCCTATGGTAGCCCAAGAATGAAAATTACCCCCAAGAAGGCATACCATTTGCAAAAGAAGACAACCCAAGGTATTGCAAACAGGGTATGTCCAGTCTTTTTTGGTAGCCACTTAGTCACAAACACTGGCCAAAATTGGTGTTTTTTGCATTTTTCACACACAAACAGATACTAACGCTAACTTTGGCCAGTGTTTGTGACCAAATGGCTACTACAAATAACTGGACATACCCCATTTGCAATACCTTGGGTTGTCTACTATTGTAAATGGTATGCCATTATAGGTATACATTTCATTCCTGGGCTACTATACAATCTCAAAGGCAACATAACCAATCTGGCGAATTTCAATTTCAAATGTAACGTGCTATATTTGACCCTGTAACTTCCCAAAACGCCATAAAACCTGTACATAGGGGGTACTGTTTTACACGTGAGACTTTGCTGAATACAAATATGTGTATTTTATTGCAGTAAAAACAAACAGTATTATGAGAGAGGAAAAGTATGACTGTTTGGCGAGGGCAAGGGCTGTGCTGTATGAACACAATATGAATCTATAATTAAGATAGTCTGTCTGGGTGCGGGTTTTCCTCCAGTTAAAATGTCATGTAGAACTAAAAAAAAATCTTATTTTCTCCCATTTTTTTTTTCATATTAAATTATGTTTCACAGCTAAATATTTGATATTAAATGAAAGCCCTGTTTCCCCTGAATAAAATGATATATAATAAGGGTGGGTGCATTTAATATGCATGAGGTGAATTACGGTTGGACAGACATGTAGCACAAATGCCAGGTTTTGTTTACATTTTTTGTTCACAACGTGTACATTTGGCTCCGTCCTTAAGGGGTTAAATAAAAATAAACTATAAATCATATGTAATTTTATCTGTATTTTGATATATTTATATCAAAATACACTTAGAAGAAAAAAAAATATATACACAGAATCCAGCACTCGCTTATTCACTAAACAATGATTAAAGACAAACGAACTGGGATAGATCCAATTAATCCTACCAACAATCATAACAATTGCACTCAGTTAAGTAATAAACTTAAAAGTAAACTAATTTTAATTATCTTATATTTCATTATGGATCTAGGAAGGGGTTAACTAAATTCAGAGATTCCTCCCCTTACCCGAGAGCTCTCTGGCACATCATGACATACGTTTTTCAAACTCACCAATTAGAAATTGCCACTTCTAACCAATAGAATGAGTTTTCCCTATATTTAAAGCAGGTGCATTGTACTGACGGGTTCACAACTGATGAGCCAGGTCGGGCGAAACGCGCATGTCGGGGGTTCTCATGGACCTGCGACCGTGCTATTGTCTATTCATCTATTGATGATTTTTAACTTTACTTTGACCTCATATACTACTAGTGGTAATTAGCCAGTGGGACTAGAGATAGGTGCCCTCAAAGGCACAGGGGGGCTTTAGCAGTAATATATACATGAACTGTGTGAGAGAGGTATCCTATTCACTATCGCTGGGGACTAAGACAGAATAGATACTTATGTCTTCAGTTTAGTTGATGGCCTCTCAACACTTTACTACTCAAGGAGGTTTTCGCTATAGCCCTCTTCTATCATTATTTTATAACACTAAGGAACTGGTGTTCATTCTTTACGTTACTGGCTCTTTCCGTTGCTGCCTGTGTTTTCTGTACCAGTCCTGAGGAGACCAGGATCTAGTTTAAGACTATTACTAGCACCTATGGGGACCTAATTTCCGCTCGAGACATTGAAGCTTCAAGCAGGCGTTAATAATTTTGATGCAAGTATACTAGGGTGATATTAAGGGGCAATACCTTTTTGACATTTCGTACCTTAGCCGCTTGAACACTCTTTCACTCCGGGGATAAAACTTAGGCGCTATTTATTTAAAAGACGATAACAACAATCATGGACAATATCTTGGCCTGAATTAGAGACCGTACGCTTCTTAGCCTCCGACTTGGCCTACTTGAGTCCTGTATTAATCGACACATATGACAAAACCACTCCAGGACTAGCAGGGACCTTGTCTATTCTAAGCACTGGCAACGTACAGCAAGCTATACAGATCTTTATTGGTGAATAGTAGAGATATAATTTCAGGACACTTCAGCATGTACTGTACACACTAGTACGTCTAATATTTGTAATAGTATATTAGATACCGGTACGATATCCGGTGATTCGTTACAATACCACTAGGGTATTTTTAAAGGGTACTTTTCCAGTACCTATCTTATGTACATTAGCACGTTTATGTTATTCATGCTTGTCTTCACTATATGAATCTACAATAAAATCTATTTATTTTGTTAATTTTTATCAGGTTAGTCCTCTGTCTGGCAACGATTCTGCTACTAATCTAGAAATCTATTTGTGATTCTAAGTCGACTACCCTTGCTTTACTATGTTCACTAAACAATTTTATATCAAATCCTAGCGATTGTAATAGTTTTATTTAAAAACTCCTAACGAGGCAAAAAATAATGGGGATTTAGTTACATTATATGATCGTATATTGCATACGTCTTCCACAACGTCTATGTACCCCATTCTTGGCAGGTCCTACTCTAGCAGCCTAATGATTGCTATTATGAGATTAATCCACTTACTTGGGAAATACTTCCTTACTGGGACTCTCTGCAAGTCAAGGCTAAATAGTGTCCTGGAATGAGGCACTAGACTACGCAAACTTCCGCAAATGTTCACGAACCCGGCGAACCGCCATAGACTTCAATGGGCAGGCGAATTTTAAAACCCACAGGGACTCTTACTGGTTGAAGGGAGGAGGGGGAGGGGGGGCGACCTACTCTCCTACCCCCCCAGCCCCCACCCCTGCGCGGTGGGTGGGGGCCATATTGATAATGAGGGGGGGGGACCTACTGCCCCCCCCTCGGCCCCCACCCCTGCGCGGCGGGTGGGGGCCATATTGATAATGAGGAGGGGGTACCTACTGCCCCCCCCTCGGCCCCCACCCCTGCGCGGCGGGTGGGGGCCATATTGATAATGAGGGGGGGGACCTACTGTCCTCCCCCCCCCGGCCCCCACCCATGGACGGCGGGTGGGGGCCATAAAGACTAATGAGGGTGGGGACCTACTGTCCTTCCCCCGCCGGCCCCCACCCCTGGGCGGCGGGTGGGGGCCACAAAGATAATGATGGGGGGACCTACTGTCCTCCCGCCCCCGACCCCCACCCCTGGGCGGCGGGTGGGGGCCATAAAGATAATGAGGGGGGGGACCTACTGTCCTCCCCCCCTGGGCTGCGGGTGGGGGCCCTAAGTAAATTCCCCCCCCCAAGGTGACTAGGGGTCCCCAAGCCCCTAGTCACCCATCCCCCCCCCCCCAAAAAAAGTCCCTACCTACCCCCCTCACCCTAAAAAATAGTGAGGGGGGAATAAAATAACTAACCTGTAAAATAAAAGTAAACTTACCATTCGACGTCTTCTTTTTTCTCAAATCTTCATTTTTCAGCCCCAAAAAAGGCCAAATAAAAAACCATCATAACCGTCGAATTGAAAATAAAATAAAAATCCCGAGCGCAAAAAAAAAAAACAGACGAAAAAGAAAAAACCCGAGCGCAAAAAAATAATCCATCTTCACCCACTGAGGGCTCCGCGCAGACTGAGCTCTGCAGGGCGGGGGAAGGCTTATAATGCCTTGCCACGCCCTGCAATTAGGCTAAGAACACTCTGGTGGGTTTAAGCCAATCCGAGTGCTCTTTGTCTTTTTACACAGTGTGGGAAAGTTCTTTCCCACGCTGTGTAAAATGACACAGAGCACTGTGATTGG